GTCGTGATAGAAAAATTTATTCTGTGCGGTCACTGGACGGCGTTCATAGAGGAATCAAAATGCGTCACATTTTTTTTTTTTTTTGTGTATCAGTGTTGCATACCGTTATGTACCGGTGACGTAGCGCATCATGATTAACCTCTGGACCGTCCGATACCACAATAATAATTTCTCAAGTCATACAGTGCATACATACTTTTTAAACAAACCATAGGAGCTCTTACAACTTTTTTTATTGATTTGGATGTTTTCGATTTCTTTATTTTTATTTTTGAAAATAAATCTAACTTTCTTTAACACTTTTGAAGATCTTCTTCTTCTTTTTTGGTTAAGAATTACCTGTTTCGCAAAAGAAATCAGTTTTTTGAAGCGGACCAATCTGAACACCCAAAGACATGTTGGTCCAGTGACATCCGAGTCCCTCTCCCTATAAGAACATTGTTCACACCGTGGCTCCAGCGAACGGCGCGAAGTTCACCCCTCGCCGGAAACCCCGATCAACTCTCGCAGAGAAGGGGGCAGGAACGGTATCCCCATTGCCTCCGCTGATTATAATTTATCTCGTTTGTTATCACTCAAAAGTCATCAAATCCATTCTGTATGATAAATAATTTGCGTACCTATAAAGTCAATTATGAGGACGACCATCGGAGAGCGGCCGGTGGGCGGCCAAGAAAGTCTTGCCGTAGGGAAGGCGGCCGAAAGGCCAGTTATCGCCGGTGGAGAGGAGGAGGTTTCCCTGTGTCCGGTGATGGGCAGTTCACAAAACTGAATATGGAAGTAATACAATTGCAGGCGGTTTGTCCGAACGGGAAAGAGGAGGAGGAGGAAATGCTACAAGGGTGAGGAAGGATAATGGGAGAAGAGGAGGCAAGCCATGGACTGTTGAAGATCGGCGCTTTAGGCTTTAAGGAGATTCATTGGGCTTAATTATGTTGATATTATCAAACCACGCGATGCTTGCTTTAGTTTTTCTTTTGATTTTATTTTATTTGCTTTTTCAGAGGGTTTTAAAAATCTTAAAATCCCGTGAAAGTGTGTGAAGGGCTGCTCCAAGTTTTTGTTTTCGGTGAAAGACAGTTTAGTGTGTGCTCTTTATTTTTTTTGTTCTCTTGCCCGTGAAAGTATAGTGAAAAGCAGAAGTTTTTTATTTGATTTGTTTTCTGTATTCTGTTTTCCTTTCATCATTGGTATCAGAGCCCGGTTGGAGAATGACAACGAGTTTAAGCAGCAATAATTTGCAACCTCAGTTGTCCAAGTTCACGGGGAAGAACTACAATCAATGGAGTATTCAAATGCGGGTGTTATATCAATCTCTAGAGTTGTGGGAGATTGTAGGAAGCAGTTTTCAAGAGCTCAAAGTTGAGAGAGATTTGAATCAAAGGCTTCTTCAAGAATTGAAAGAAAATCGGAAGAAAGATTGGAATGCCCTTTTCTTCATCTATCAAGCGGTAGATGAAATTATTTTTGAGCGGATCTCTACGGCGAAGACTGCGAAGGAGGCTTGGGATACACTACATGCTTCTTACAAAGGAGATGAGAAAGTGAACATGGTACGTTTACAAACCCTAAGAAACCAATTTGATATGTTGAAGATGGAGTCAAAAAATGTGGAAGAATATTTCAATCGGGTAATTACCATTGTTAACCAATTGAAGTTGAATGGAGAACTTGTAGAAGATAAAAGGGTTATTGAGAATATTCTACAAAGCTTGACCAGAAAATTTGAAGCTACAGTGGTAGCCATAGAAGAGATAAAGAATATAGAGAAAATGTCTATTGAAGTGATGCTTGGATATCTTCAATCACATAAATTAAGAATGAAGCAATATAATTCGACATCACTTGAGAAAGCCTTCCAAACTCAAGTGGTATTGCGTAGAAATTTCAGAGGTGACCGTGGAAGAGGTTTTGGTAGAGAAAGATGCTCTTTTAGCACTAGAAAAAGAGGTCGTGCTGGTAGAGGAGAATCTACACAAAGTGATGAAGGTGAAGTTCAAGGTGGAGCTAGCTCATGGTGATGGAGAAGGTGCACGTGATCGTGGACATGGTTTCAGAGGTAGAGGAAGAAACAACTTTGCCAATATCAAATATCACTTTTGCAAAAGGTATGGACACACTTATCGTTTTTGTTAGAAGTGGCAGGAGAGTGAAGAGAAAAATATAGATATGGTGTAAAAAAAAGAAGTGGAAAAATGTGAAGACACAATGTTTCTTACACATAGTAAGGAGTTAATTTGGTGATTCATGAGATGTATGATTTATTGATAGTGGTTGTAGTAATCACATGACTGGTAACAGAAACTTGTCTGTTACTTTGGATAACTCAATCCAAACTGAAATACGCACAGGAGATGACAATAGATTATTTGTGGAAGAAAAAGGTAATATTTTGATGCAAATAAGTAAGGGGGAAAAGAAGATATCATATGTCTTATATGTTCCAAATCTTAAGCATAATTTGCTTAGTGTTGGATAACTAAATCAAAAGGGATATGTGTTGATATTTTCTCTTGACACTTATACCATTAAAGACAAGCCTGAATTTTGATAGCCAAGGTGAAGGTGACTCCAAATAAAATATATCCCATGAAGATGATTTGTAGTTTGAATGGTTGTTTGAAAACTTCCATAGAGAATCATTCAAGATTATGGCATTGCAAATTTGATCACTTGAGTTCCAATACACTTTCTTATATGAGCCAGAAGAACATAGTTGATGGACTTCCACATTTTAAAGTTCAAGACAAGATCTGTGAAGTATGTGTTGCAGGAAAGCAGAGCAGAGCACCTTTTTCAGTTGGAAAATCATGGAGAGCCTTGAAGCCATTGGAGCTTATTCATTTATATTTATATGGACTGATGCACACTACTTCTATTGGAGGTAATTGTTATTTGTCACATTTATTGATGATTATAATTGAAAAGTCTGGGTATATTTTCTGAAAGAGAAGTCACAAGTATTTGAGTATTTAAAAATATTCAATGCACTTGGGGAGAAGGAGAGTGGTCATTTTATTAAGATGTTGAGGAGTGATAGAGGTAGAGAATATGTTAGTCATGAGATTCAAAATTATTTGAAGGAAAATGGGATACGCCATCAGTTAACAAGAAGATACACACAACAACAAAATGGAGTAGCTATGAGGTTTAATATAATCATTATGGGATTGGCTAGGAGTATGTTAAAGGAGAGGCAAGTACCCAATCTGCTTTGGGCTGAAGCTATGTCATGTGTTGTTTATTTATTAAATAGAGCAACATCAAAAAGTAAACCATCTCAAACTCCTTTTGAAATTTTTAGTGGTCATAAGCCTATTGTTGATCACTTGAGAGTTTTTGGGAGCATTTCTTATGTTAATGTACCTGATCAAAAGAAAAGGAAGTTGGATGAAAAATCTGAGGAAGTGTGTGTTTGTAGGATATAGTGAAAGGTCCAAATCCTATAAACTATATAATCCTACAACAAAGAAAGTGGTAGTGAGTATGGATGTGAGATTTGAAGAGAACTTAGCTTGGGATTGGCTTGAAAAAGGCAACAACTAAGATGTCACAGTTATGAAAAATAAAGAAAAAATTATTGATGAAGTATAGCAATAAACACCGCCGCACACTATAGTGAGATTGGGAGAATCATGTAGTAATGGTATGGAAAAGGTGAAGACAAGAAGCCTCCATGAGATATATGACACCACAAATTATAATGAGTTGTCTCAATTTGCTTTATATGTAGATGAAGAGCCATTAACTTTTAATGGGACGGTTATAGATAAAAGATGGATGGATGCCATGAAAGAGGAGATTGATGCTATTGAGAGAAATGACGCATAGAGTTTGACCTCACTTCCTAAAAGTCAAATATACATTGGTGTCAAGTGGGTGTACAAAGTGAAGAAGAATGTTGATGGGGTGTAAATAAATTCAATGCTAGACTTGTAGTTAAAGGATACAAGCAAAAGCAAGAGATAGATTATGAAGAGGTATTTTCACCTGTTGCAAGATTTGATACTGTCAGATTAATTTTCTCTATTGCGGCTATGAATAGATGGCAGATTCATCAATTAGATGTGAAGTCGGCTTTCTTAAATGGCATCTTGGAGGAATAAGTATATGCAGATCAGCCTGAAGGTTTTATTAAGAAGGGAAAAGAGCATATGGTGTATCGTTTGAAAAAGACTTTGTATGGCTTGAAGCAAGCCCCGAATGCTTGGAATTTATGTATTGATAAGCATTTTGTAAAAGAAGGGTTCACTAAATGCCCTTATGAACATTTATTCAGCATCTCATAAAAGTAACCACCTATGCGCTGGCAAACTCTTTTGTTAAGCCACACGTTTAGTTACTTACTTGTATGCATGATCTTTAACAATCAATTGATGTAGCCTACTTTGTCATGTACACTCGATTACTCCCACGTCTTCTCCTAATTGTTGAGATTTTGAGCAGATTAGTGTTGATCGGGCTTTAAGTAAAACCTAAATTAATTAACCCAAATCTACGTGGAGGACACTATTGTGCCACATTAGTTAAGTAAAATCAGATAGGAGCTTAAATCAATATGGAGGAGCCTATGTGTTCATTATAACAAGATTTTGTGTAAATTAGAATTTTATTATTGAAATTCATAAATTTTTTAACTTTTGAGAAAAAAGAATAATCTTAGAGACCAATTATAATGAATTGACGTAACAAAATGAGCATTTTAGCTCTTTTTGTCTCAAATAGCACATATAAGATTTCATTTGGGATACTTTTTTACGGCTTTTTATCTACATATAAAGCAAAATAACATTACAACAAATCATTCCCTTCATTTAATATTATTTTATTACTATTAAAATAAAAAAAAATAAAAAAGGACTTCTTAACCTTCAACACTAAAATTCAGGCTTCATTTAGGACAGTTTTTTTATTGATTTCTAAAATAATTTTTTAGTACAAAAAATTATAATTTAAAATTTGTGTACTAAAAATCTGTTTTAAAAAAACAGTATGAAAGCTAGCCCAAACAAAACCTCAATTTTTATCTTTTTTTGAAAGCCTACTTACCGCAATCGGATCCCTTAGTATGTACATACATTTTTATACAAAATTATCTCCTCTATTCTTCTTTGGAAACATTAATTGCAAGTTCTTTTACCACAGATCCAATATTGGAAGAACTACATGCCTTATTGATAGAAGGATCAGCAAAAGGCCCTTCCAGGATTCCCTTGGCAATGGCCTTATAAGTTGCCTCTGTGAAGTGCAGTCCATCCCAGCTAAGATAAGTCGACGGGTCATCGCACACAGTCGAGTTCTCGCTTCCACAATTTACGCTCTTACCGTAATTGTATCGACCGCCGCCGCTACCACAACATGCAGCTAAAGGTACTCTTTCAAGCCCTGCAACAAATATTTAAGGTAGATGTTGCAATAGAAAGTTGACATACAAATGGGTCTTAGGCTTCGTTTGAGACGGTTTTTTTACTGCTTCTTAAAATAACTTTCTAGTATAAAAATTAATTTTTTTGTACTAAAAAGATGCTTTGAGAAGCGGTAAGAAAGCCGTCCCAAACGAAGCCTTAATAAAATCCAAATAAGTGAAGGGAAAAGAAAATAATTTGTCTCACTTGTGCTATTTGCAGGGCTAAGGATGTTCATAACTACATTGAAGTAATCCGCGTAAATGATGGTGGCGTCGGGGTGAGTATAGCGAAGACGATTGAGCTCCTGCTTGAGAACATTATTATGATACTCTGAGAACTCGTTCAGCCAATTAATGCAGCCTGTGCTCGTATTGTAGTCTTCTACTTTTGAGTTCTCATAGTATGTTAGAAATGCTGCCATGCATCCTATTGGGAAGTTTCCAGGAACTAACAAAGTCTTTGCCCCCATATCAATTAAATCCTGGCAATAAAAAAGATTAGTTCAAAATGCTCAGAATGAATTACATGAAATAATCAAACGATCTTATTTATTTTGTATCATTCATTAGGGTTAGAAAAAATTTTCATCTTGTCCAATGATTGACGAACATTAAAGCTGTGAAACCCCTTAAATAAAAGAAGCTAAACTCTTAAATATGAGACGCATTTTTATATAATAGTCAAAATTTTGTTAAAGAAACTCCGTAGTTAAGTGTTCTCATCCCAGGGCGATTTTAGGATGGGTGACCTACTAGAAAGTTATACCAACAAGACAAAACTGTGAAACACTTAAGCCAAAACGAACAATATCTTGATAGTTAAGAATTTAAACTTTTACAAAAACTTTGTGGGTGGTGACATAGGATCTTGATGACTAATAAATATTAGATATTAATCATTACTCGTCATCAATCTCATCACTTATACATGTAAAATCAAGAAAAGATTTATCTAAAAAGAAAAAAATCATTGATTATAGGGAAACATACACACAAACAACAATAGAAAGGTGTTGAGAAATTATAATATTTTTTTTTTAATTTTATAAACTAACTATCATAGTGCAAAGTAAATAGTGAATTAAGTACTAACATTAATTGCCATACTAATTTTGTTGATGACAAGAGGTACCAAAGATTTGACTTCTTGAAAGGACCAATTTTGTAAGAAACCTTGGTAGTAATCATTTCCTCCTATTTCTCCAACCAGGAATAGAGATCTGCTGAAAATATCCTTCCTCTCTGACAAAGAAATAAAATTGTTAATTGTTTATATTTTAAAAATAATCATATAAAAATGATCAAAATGATCATTTGACCCTTTTCAAACGGTCAAAATAAAGGGTCAAAATGATAATTTAATCCTTACTTATAAGGTCATTGGACATAATTGTTACTTTTATATAATTAGGGGTTATTTTTATAATTTGAAGAATATTAGGAGATCAATTAGATCATTTTTCTATAAAAATGATTAAAAATATATCTTATGTTTATTTTAAACCTATTATTAAACATTTAAATTTTTAAAGCTAAAAAAACATTAGTTGACTCAATTAGTAAAAGATAATTGAAATTAAAGTTTGGTCAACATTAGGGCGAAGTCAAAAAAATTTATTAGTGGGGGCACAAATTAATAATTTTTAAATACTCCTAATATTTTATGTGGTGTCAATAAATGATCAATTAGTACATTCTTCCAAAAATAGTCTCCTAAATTATGGGGTGTCAATAAATGATCAAACTCGACAACCAAAATCAATATTCTAGCTCAAATTGGCCTGATTAATCTTTTTGATTGAGTTTCGGCCAAAAATTTTAACTCAATTGATTTTTGAGTTAAGTATGATTAACCTAAAAACTCAAAATTGACACGATTATCATTTGGATTAGAGTTGAATAAACATGTCATCTTCGAATTAAATAGGTCAAATATGAGTTAAACAAGTCATGTTGAACTAAAACTGATGAAATTTATACGATAAAGTTGTCAAATGGGTTGGGTTTGGACAAAATTAGGTTTGGGTCAAATATTTTGACATGTATGATAAATGGGTTAGATTAAAATCAAGCATATATATTCAGATTGAGGATTATTTTGAGGTGACTTTTTAATTGCTTCTTAAAACAATATTTTAATACAAAATTTCTGTACTAATACTCCATTTTAAGAAGCAATAAAAAAGTCGTGCCAAAAGAAGTTAGAGTCAACATTAGGCCAAACACGAAATTTTTGAAGCGGCTTAGTTTGAGGCGGCTTTCTTACTGTTTCTTAAAGCAATTTTTTTAGTACAAAATTTTCATAAGGTGAAATAATTTGTACTAAAAGTTGTTTAAGAAAGCAATTAAAAAAAGAAGTCCCAAGCAAAGCCTTAATTAGACTCGCTATGAATGCCTTCTTCATGAATCCTATACATTCGGGATAGTTTTCGTACTACTTTCTAAGGCACATTTTTTGTATAAAAAATTATAATTTTTAATTTTTTAAAATTAAAAATTATTTTAAAAAGCAAAAAAAAAACTTACCTAAATGAAGCTCAAATCATGCATGTACTACCACATGGTACATATCAGTAAATTTAGAATCTAATTATAGGGAGACATCAGACATGTGTGTATAAGTTGCCCTCTTATTTGGTGGGGCCATCTTATTATATTTTAATAGGCTTTTAGATATTATATATAGTACTAATATGAGATTTATTCTATATAACTTTTTATATAGAGAATATATAGCCAAGAGAAAGAATCTACTAATTAATTTTCACTAAAAAGATTATTAGAATTGCATAGCATAATTAACTACATATAAATTATAATTTTAACGAATTAATCTTAGAGCTACAAAAAATGAATGATATTTTTAGTGATGAGAGGTAAAAAATTGTAATAGAGAAATTTAATATTCTCTATTAATCATTAAGGATTTATTAGGGACAATTTTTGTTTTTTAAATCAAATTTTTAGTTAAAAAAAATTGGACTATAAATTTTTGTATTAAAACATTGTTTTAGAAAATTATGTCAAACGAAGTCTAATTGGGACGACTTTTTTATTGCTTTTTAAAATAGCTTTAATTTCTAGTTTAAAATTTAAAAAAAAATTCACTAAAAAGCTAATTTAAGAAGCAGTAAGAAAGCTGTCCCAAATGATTGTTTGGGACGGCTTTCTTACTGTTTCTTAAAGCAGCTTTCTAGTTAATTTTTTTTTTTTTTTTAATTTAAAAGCTGCTTTAAGAAACAATAAGAAAGCCGTCACAATCGCAGCCTAAGTCATGGAACCTTTTTAAACAAACTATAGGACTTGTTTATCACTTTTTTTAAAGCATATTTGATTTGCATGTTTTTATTTTTATTTTTTTTAAATAAATCAACTTTCTTTAACATAGTGAGAAAATAACTTTTAGGTTATTTTTATAAGGCTTCTTTTGGTTCAGATTTTTTGTCATTATTTTTTAATTATTTTCATTAAATTTTTTAAGCAAAAAATTATTTTAACAACTAGCAATAAAGCTATCCAAAACCAAATTTAATTGTCTTTATTATTTTTAAAATAAAAACCAGCCTAACCTGCCATCTTTGGCTGTTGATCATTGCCCCTACCTTTGGGCAAATTACTACGTCCGGTCACCGGACATCCGGACATCCAATTCAGATGCATCACGTCACTCAAATATATTGGGACTCGGTGTATTTGGGTAATGTGGCGCCTCTGGATTGATGTTCAGACGAATCCGGACACCGGACGTAATAATTTGCCCTACCTTTAACACCAACAAGAAAGACTAATCTTTTTTTTTTTTTAACTCATCTTTGGTGGAACTTCACTTTAGCTCCGTTTGGGACAACATTATTACTGCTTCTTAAAGCAACTTTTTAGTTTTTGTACAAAAAAATTGTTTTAAAAAACACTAAGGCTTTATTGGGACAACTTTCATACTATTTTTTAAAACGGTTTTTTAGTACAAACATTTCAAATTCAAGAAATTTTTGTGCTAGAAAGCTGTTTTAGAAAGCAATAAGAAAGTTGTCCCAAACGAAACCTTATTGCTTCTTAAAACGAAGTTTTAGTACAAAAATTTTAATAAAAAAGTAATCCAAAACAAAGCCTAAAAATACAGTCCCAAACGAAACCCTAATACCACACAAACCTTAAGAAAAAATACCAACATCATCATAGTTAAAATAAAACAAAAGTCAAGCGAGTTTTCTATCGATTTTAAATAGTAAGATTAGTGCTGCATATGATGTAGATTATACTAATCTTAATAGAAATTCAAAAAAAAATTAGGACCGTCATGATAGAAGAACATGAAGATCTTTTTTTTTTTTTTTTTTTTTTTTTTTTTTTTTTTTTGTGGTTAAGAATTACCTGTGTCGCAAAAAGAAATCAGTTTTTTGAAGCGACCAATCTGAACACCCAAAGACATGTTGGTCCAGGTGACATCGAATCCCCTCTCTCTAAAGAAGCCATTTTTCAGCACCGTGGCTCCAGCGACGGCGAAGTTCACCCCTCGCCGGAACCCTCCGCAATCTCCTCCTCGCAGAGAAGGGGGCAGGAAAGGTATCCCCATTGCTTCCGCTGATTATAATTTATCTCGCTTGTTATCAGTCCAATCATCGAATCCATTCTGTATGATAAATAATTTGCGTACCTATAAAGTCAATTATGAGACGACCATCGGAGAAGCGGCCGGTGGGGCGGCCGAAGAAAGTCTCGCCGTAGGGAAGGCGGCCGGAAAGGCAGTTATCGCCGTTGGAGAGGAGGAGGTTTCCGGTGTCGGTGATGGAGTCACCAAAGCTGAATATGGAAGTATAGCAACCGCCGGCGGTTCGTCGGACGGGAAAGAGAAGGAGGAGGAAAGCAACAAGAGTGAGGGAAGGATAAAGGGAGAAGGAGGAGGAAGCCATGGACTGTTGAAGATCGGCGTTTTAGGCTTTAAGGAGATTCATTGGGCTTAATTACTCGCATTAAGCTGAAAAAAGAGAAAAATTGAAGGTACAAGCAAGCATATCCTCACGTTTTTTTTAATTTTAGGAAGATAATTGTGTTCTGAAATTTTTAATTGTTATTAGAATTATAATTATTATTATTATTATTATTTTACAAATATATTACAGAGGAAAATTGCATCCAGATAACCGAATATATATTTTATTAGCAGTTTGATTGTTATTAAATTTATATTAAAATTAGTATTGCATTCAATATTTAAGAATTTTACTAATTTTAATGTAAATGTAAGAAAAGTTAAGTCATATCACAATAAAAATTTTTCCAGTATTATAATATAACAAAAGCTAAGTCATAGCAAGCTTGCTTGATCGTCGTCGACCGCCGCCAGCCGCCACCACTACCCACCACAACTGTTAACGGCCATCGCCACGGCCCTCCAATCACCACCACTGTCACCTACTTGCCACCACCACCGCCAGCCGCCTACAACTACTACCACTGCTTGCCACTTACCACCACTATCATCGCCGTCGTTCTCATCATCAACCGTCATTTTTTAATTTTAACTACATTCATTTAATTTACGTCAAATTAAGCAAAAAAAATCATTCACTTGAATTTACTTTATATTTTACACTACTCCAAACTACTCAAAATATTTATTTTACACTGTATTCATTTCATAGCCAGCCAAAAAACCATAAATTACTCAATAATTAGGGTGGGCCCACACATTATTAGTGTTGATCTAATTTTCATTTAAAAATATTAAATTTAAAATATACTTTGGAGCATTTAACAATTTTATCAATAATAATCCAGAAGCTAGGGCCCTATAGTATTTTTCATAAATTTAAAATTAAATTGAGAGAATATACAAATAACAATCACTTTGGATCTATTTGGGAGAGCTTTTTGGTTAGCTTATTTTTCGGATAACAATCACAATTTTATTTGGTTATTAGTTTCTTAATAATTTTAGAAATTTTTTCTTATGGGAAACTGTTTTTTGCAATCATAGTAATAAAGTTATTTTTGTCATAGCAACTTCACAATTAATTTTTTAAAATTCTAAAGCAGTCCCAAACAGTTTATAATTTTTCTTTTAAATTTTTTATGATTTTTTTTTTTGTCTAATTTTTATATTTTGAATTTTATTTTATGCTCCAATCCAACAATCTGGATCAAAATTAATCTATTTTTATATAAATAATGTTATACATAAGCATTTTACATTTATTGTTATTCTTATTAAGGACTTATTTCTTCGTAGTTTTTTTTTTCACTTTTTATATGAAGAACCATTAAATATATATATTTGTTAGATGTTTGGATTACTCCCTGAAAATTTAATTTCTTGATAAATTTGAGTCAGCCTAAAGTAATTATTAATAGGATGCTAATGATTTCCTTAATCAGCTTTATTTCTAAAAAATAAATATATTCTTATTTTTTATCAAAATATATAATATTCAGCCAATATTATTTTTGTAGAGATAGTTGCTATTTGCATGTTTCATATTCTTGCAACTTGTATTATTTTGATGATTTCAAATATTATTGTTTTTATATATCTCATAACACTTTTTGGAAGTTTTATTTTTTGCTCTAGTGTGTACTAACATTTCAGGGAAATTAACTCCAAACAATGAAGACTTCAAACTATTCATTTGTAAATCATATTTTTTTACATGAAAGGGAGTGATTGTAATTGAGTGAAAAAAATCACAACACACACTCTTAGGGGACAATTTTTTGTGAATTGATCGTACGGGACGAACTATGTTCGTACGGGACGATCATGTTAATTAGCCCCTCAGAAGAGCAACGGACTGAACGTACGAGGAGAAAATTTTCTAAGTCCTATTCGTCCAGGACGAATTTAATATTCGTCCCGGGACGAAGCTCTCGGGATTCTCACTCGCAATGTTCGTCCAAACGAAAAATAAGGTTCGTACCGGGACGAAACTCTCTGTATGAGTTCGTACAGGACGAAATTAATTTTCGTACCGAGACGAAACTCTCTGTATGAGTTCGTACATGACAAAATTAATTTTCGTACCGGGACGAAACTCTCTGTTTAAAATCGTCCCAGGGCGAAACCTGTTCGTCCCAGGACGAACGGAACCGACTTAAGTCAGTTGGTTACGTCCTGAAGAATTTTTGGAAACCGACCTATGAAATAACTGTTTCGTACCGGACGAACATAGTTCGTACGGGACGATGAGCGTGTACGAACATAGTTCGTACCAATTTACATTAGGTTCGTTTCCAGCACTTTAAGTAAAATCGTACAGGACGATCCACGATCGTACGGGACGATCCACTACGTACATAATTGAAAACTTACAGTTTTGGGGCAGTTTTTCTTGTCTTTTGTATATATATAGTCCAAATTAGACTGCCACCCAATCTTTTTGTCATTTGATCTTCGTGCCTATTGAAAAAAAAGCCAAGGAGAGAGTGTGAGAGAGCATTCAAAGGAGGATTCCTACCACTGGAGTGTGAAGGCTTCACTTGTTGTTTAAAGGTAAGAATCTCTACTTGTGAATTGGGATTACTTCACTCTTTTCTTCCTTCTTTCTAGATTTCTTGTGAGAAGATCTATCAAGGATATCCGGTTCTCTACCGACACTAGGAGAGTGTGAAAAGACGAAGGGTTCTCTGTCCACACTAGGAGAGTGTGAAAAGACGAAGGGTTCTCTGCCTACACTAGGAGAGTGTGAAAGGACGGGCGGTTCTCTGCCAACACTGTGGATTGTGTAAAAGGACGACGGTTCTCTGCCGTACTGGGTAGTGGTGAAAAGAGTGTTTGTAAAGGCTTCTCCGCCTTGCTGTAGGTGCAAAAGGAGAGACACTATTGGTATTTGTGCAATACTCAGAGGGTGCCTCTAGGGAGTGGATGTAGGTCTGATTTAGACCGAACCACTATAAATCTTGTGTCGTCTACTTTACTTTTTATTTTCCGCATTTTTCTTTTATTTTAAAAAATATTGTGGTTGAAAAACTTTTCTATAAAAATTTCATTAAAAGTTTAATTTCGATTCAACTAAAATTTAAAAGAGAGTTAAGTTTTTAAAACTACCAATTCCCCCCCCCCCGGGTAGCATTGGGACATTAACTTAGGTTTAACAACCTATTCACTAGACTCAACAATTTTTAATATTTTAAAAACAATAAAAATAAATTTAACATATTCATCTTTCTATTTATTCAATATTTTTATTTTCAATGAAAAAGATTTGGTAGATATTTGGACATTCTCTAAAGATTTTCAATATAAATTGTGCTCAATTTTTTTATTAATATTTTGTTAAGATTTGAGTCATAATCAAAAATAAAATAATTCACTCAAAATTATTTTTAGAATTTGATGGTTAATAAAAAAAAATTTTAGTTTGCCCTTCTTTGATCAATATTTTTAATATCAAATAAAAAACATTATATTTATGATCCATCTATATAGTATTTGTTTAATATTTTTATCATCAAATCTCAAAAAATCAATTAGATTTTTGATATATTAATCTATTAATCTAACTAATTATTGAATATTTTTATCATACATAAATTTCTAAGATTGTAAATAACTTTTTAACTGTATAAAACACAATAAAATCTATATAATAATATAATATAAAGCAAGAAAAAATGAATTCATTAAATGAATATTGACACTACATCAAAAATCATCTTAGTCGAACACAAATCACAATGAATATTTGAATCGGAAACTTTCAAAATTAAATTTTGTTTAATTCAAACTCTGATTGTAGTTAACTTTTTTTTTTTTTTTTAAAGATTTTTTTTTTTTTTTTTTTAACGACAGTATCTACCCACAGCCACCCCCCTTAGGAAGCACTTGGCGGCGTAACTACTCCCTCGACGAGCCTACTAGCAACCAGCCTCACAGGTGCAGCTAAACTGAAAATCTCAATGATACGAATCCAACTGAACATCTCGACGATACGAATCCAACGATATCAAAACTGATCCATTCAAATTCTGAATGAGCCGAAATCTAATATTTAAAGTATAACTAAAATCTTCGGGACTTTAATTGGATGACCAAATGATATTTAAATCTCTTAAATTATTCATCGAGTATGTTAATTTATTCACAAATTTATTTTTTATAAAATTAGCTATATTTAATTTGACGAAATTGAAGATAATATAATCTCTAAGTGGTAGCTCAAAGGGTGTTTTCACTCCCAACAGTCAGTCAGCCACCATCTCTTTCTATTTTATAATATTTTCAAATCCGTATGTAATATTTTGAAATCCGAGGAAGTAGTTGCATAGAATTCCACACATGTCAATTTCAACGAAACGTCTCAATAATGATGTTAATTTTTTTCCCAATTTTAAATATATTTAACTATTTATAGAAATAAAAAATATAATATTATTTAAAAGGAAATATTATATTAGAAAAAAGGGGATTTGATCTTGGCACTTTTTTTTTTCCTTCAAATATTTAGATATTAAAACTTATAATAATAAAATTAAGCTTCTTTGGAATATTTTTCTTTCTAATTTTATAAAGCATTTTTATTACAAAAATTTTTTTATATAAGAAAATTTTTTGGAGAAAACTACTTTAGAAAGCAATAAAAAAGCTGTTCCAAACAAAGGTCAAAAATATGCTTGAGATAGTTGTAACTTGTAGTAAAAATAATTATAAAGTTGTTATCAATAAATAAAATTTTTTAAGTTAATGTAAAAATAGCTTTCTAATACATAAAATTTAAAAATATTTTATTTATTTAAATACTTAAATAGTAATTTTTTAAATCTCATTTAAAAAGCTTTCTAAATCTAAAAATAGAGGGCAACTGTTGAACTCATTAAACTATTTTTTATTAGGGGGATTTAATAACAAACCTAATTTCTACTATATTTATATATATCTAACTATTAAATTTTAATATTTACATATAAACCATTTTAAAATTAAAAATATTTAAAATACATGCCGATTAATATTGATGATATTTTTAATACGGTTTAGAGATTTAAATTT